AACATCTGGTTTATTTATATTGTCTTATTATAAACAGAATGTACGAACTTACGTGCCTATAAACCCCACAATTGTTTATTATTTTTGGTGTGGTTAATTACTTAAAGAACATTGACTTCGTTTATTGTCTCATGCAATAACAATAAAAACCACCACAGCATTACGTCTGCTCAAATTCACCAGTATCATGCAAGAAATAATAAAATAAAAATATTCTATTTCAAGACTAAACCCGGAAACTGGACTAGATTTATATTTAAAGAAAATAACAAACAGCAACTTGAACTCTTTATAAAAGCTGCTATTTTTGTATTTGTCTTGACCCGGGATGTGGTTATTTTATATAAAAGTACAACAAATTATTATCGTTAACTAGGTTACCTACTCGGGGTGGTATCAGGTGTTCCTAGGAAACTCGTGGCGGTGTTATGAGTATAACGCATTTGCCATGACGCATGCGGCCTTCTTTCAGACGCTTACGTTAAACTGGGTTTTTTTAATCGTTAAACTAGCCTAAGTTTGTCGTATGGACGCAAAGGTGGTGCAAATAAGGGCGGCGAGGGGGGGGGGGGCACATCACTGCCCAATTCTTCTTGTGTGGTTATGTCGACTTCGACAGCGTGATATCACACGCACGTGTCACATTAGTAGACTTGCTGAAAGAGCCAGTCGTGAATGAGGTGCTAGTCTAGCATAAGGTGAAAATGGAAGGGCGAGAAGCAAATTTTATCGCATCCTACTATCTAGGATATGAAGTTTAGTGGTGAGATGTATAATAAAGGATTGGTGGGGGGGGGGCAAGTGGGGATTAAACGTAATCCTTATCACATGTAGTCTGTTCTATAATAACAGCTTAAAATTCTTCAGAAACTTTATGACATTTGGCATATATATATATGGTTGATTTCGCATATTGTAAGTTTTGTCACTTCTTCCATATGCAACATCTGCGGCCCGATTTCGTCAAGTAACGTGTGTCTTGATGCCAGCCGTCAGTTTATCAGCCTTGCGCTATCGCCCTAAAGTCGTCAATATTTCCTTTTCTTCAGTGTTTTTAAACTAGCTTGTATACAGCCGTCTTAACGGCGTCTAAGACACACGTGATGAGTCTGACAGGTAGTGATGCTAATTAAGGTAATCAGATTGTATTATGTATACATCACGTATATTAACTTAAAATATGACCTTCATCACGACTTGTTTTGTTTTTTTTATCTCATACAACAACAATGAGTAATAATTGTGGTTTGTAATAAGAATCGTAGATACCTTTTGACGTACAATGTATGTAAAACTAATGTATAATATTCATATTACGTATAAAGAAAATAGAGTCGTGGATATCGATAACATATCAGATATACTGCACAGGTATAATGATATATACTATGTAATATATGTGAAATGATATATATATATATCCTCATATTACTGTCAAACAAGAATAGAGATCTATATATGTAAAAAAAAATGTATATATCTACTCACATTACGCGTTAAACGGTAATTATCTTTTCCTTGTGGGGGTTGAGGTTACGAGTTTAACACTGTTGTTAATTACAGGGTAATGACCTATTGGCAATAATATGTGGAGCGAGGGTGACATCTGTACGGCAATTACAAGCAAATTAACGAACGGCCATTTTGAAGATGTGGCCTGGGGCGTTGGGCTTCACGGGTCCCTGTAGGAGATGTTTTATTTAAACGTATATTATGCAAGAGCTAAATCTGCCTATTGTAGGACATTTATTAACAAAACAAGACCATAATCAACTCTCGGTGGCATCGGATACACGAGATTTTATTTAGATTAGAACGGTTTGCCATTTAAAAATTTAATTTTAAAATGGGTAAGCGAGGCCAAGTCTCGAATATACCAGTGCGCTGGTTACCACAATGCAAACATCTTGTAAAAACTACAAACAGTGATAACTTGGCTCAGAATGAAGTAATTTGAATAAAATTTTCAATATTTTCATTTTACATTATCTATTTTCGAGCTATTATAGCAAGAATGGTCAGCTCTTTATCTAAATCTTACATAATATATCTTTCAAAGAAAACGGAATACGCCATAGTAGTTGTGGCCTAGGGCCTTGCTTTTCACGTGTCCCTAAAGGGGGAAGTTTTTTTGAAAAGAAAATGGAATACTAGCTATTATTGCACACCTCCAGACTATATATAATAATTATTATAATATATATAGTCTATGCTATATAATAAACTATAACGTAACTAGGTTTGTTTACGGAAGTTAATGCTCTGTTTTATTATCTTCTTTATTTTAAATTAAAACTTCACATGGTGGTGTGTTATTTTCGACTGTTAAAATTAAGATTTAGGAGGAAAAGAAAAGACACGAATTAACATTTGTAAATGTATCCGTGATTACGTGGAGATTGCACAAAGAGAAATATTCTAGGGCAGTATAACTGTATTACGGTGTCATTTCCGCTGCCTGTCGCGCCTAATAGCCCAGACTAAGGCCTGGAAAATCTATGGTTCTTCTATATTTCCAAATATGGCGGTATACGCGGTGGAGCAGTCAAGGGTTAAAGCTTCTATAGTTCTAATTCTTTGGCGCTGCTCTTCGTTTTGTGATCCGCCCTGAGCTGCAGACGGCCAATTTGTAAGCATTGCAATTTAAAATTAACAGAAATAAGGATTAGACAATTAAATCAAAAACATGTTTGGCATCAAATTTGCATTTAAGTTCGTGGTGAGAATTGGGTTTATCGCTCAGATGTCAACCCTAATGGTTCGCGGGAATTCACCTCTTTCTTTCGTTTTAGGTAAAATTAAATCCACGATGGACACAAATAGTGCTTCTCTGAATATTATTTGTTGAGAGGAGAAAAAGATTTGTAAATTAATCCAGTTATATAATAAATAACAATATAGTTATAGACAGATCGAACTATATAGCAATTAATTTCTTAACACAATAATGGATTATAATTAATTAAAGTCTTGATACGTTATTTTAGCGCTATAGAATTACTTGTAAAGTACAGTATTGTGAAAGATGGATCTCTAATAGAATATCAGTCCAAATATGGTTCAGTTCCGTTCAGTGTTCAGAAAGATATGTGGAATTGAAATTCCATCAATCTATGCCGCTCACTATGTAATAAGGCTACCGCCATTTTGTTGTCCGCGAAAATTTATTAATAGGCCCTTTTCTTAAATTCCGATTGAATCCAAACCTAGTCATTATCTATCATCGATAATTTGATTTGCATATTAGACGTGAGAAATCTGATATTTATCGAAAAATGCCAATGGCGCATCGGGACTTTTAAGATAGACAGAAATAAACTTGAACTCCATGAACGTGCAGTAGACTGTAGACCAGTTTAAATCGATTAAGAACAAGAGTGTGCATATGTTGCCGTCTTTTTGTTTCAAAATAAAACGAAGCATGTTATTTTGTACGAGAAAATTTATCGATAATTTTAATGTCCACTTGAAACCTCGTTAAAGATAATAAATGATGACATTTATATATTTGAAGTGCAGTTTACTATCAATAAACTTAATAACCTCAACAAATTAATTAACATGCTAATCTCATGACGTCAATCGTTTCGCCAAGGGTGTATTAACTTAACGAACCCCAACATTCTCTATACAGAAACTAATCATGAGAAATAAAAGAATAGGGTTATTGATTTCTATTTTGCCGTGTAATCAGTTTGTAATAATCAAGAGATTAGTACCATGTGTGTATATGATTATTATGGTGAACAACAATAGTAGACAGATTCATTTCACAAATGAAAGTAGAGCTACCTTTTATAAGGCGCTTTTCATTGTGATTTAAACAATATTTTATTATTTAATAATTAATCACTGATATAGTAGACAGACTCATTTCACAAATCATAATATTATAACCTGCTGTTTATGTATAGAGAATAACAATATTTCGGAAATGGAAAGTAGAGCTACCTATTCTATGATATTATATTATTTATTATGGATACAATAACAAGCATTGGTTGTAATAATTCCAAATCTAGATTAATTTTGAATTCGGCTTCTGCCCTGTCTTTTCATTAGCCAAACTTTAAACATTTGTCAGTGCATGTGACTGGTGCTGATGTTTTTCAAATATCTGTTCTGAAATGTTCTTGGTTGAATCCAGCTACAGTATTATAACGCCAAGATCGAGCCGAATCACTTAAATTCAGACGTTTGAAAACAGAATGTTTATTGGTTGAGAGCCAAAATCAGAACACTCTCGGCCAATGAACCGGTGTAATCTAAAATAAGAATCCTTTTCAATAAAGTATGCCCTGACTTAGAAACAAAATAATATTAAATGGGTTGGGTAATATTAATCTAGTTTTTCCAGTTACCAAAAGCTGAATCATTACCCACCGGAAGTAAGAGTATGTGCTCTAACGCGTGCACTTGGGTATATTCCTTTCGATCCCAGTCCTGTAAGTAGAGTAACCCTGTCTAAACTCATGGGTTTTATCTGGATCTGGATCCTCACGCTCCACCCCACCCCAGCCACACACGATCAAAAACCCAAACTGTGTTAAGTAGACGCTAAACCGTTTTTTCTCTTATCTGGTTAGAATTAGAGAGCAAGACACGGATCATGCTCAAATAGATCCTGGGCTCGATCCCGGTGTGGGCCAAGAAAGTTCTCAGGATTATCCAGTCTAGTTTCGCCTTGTCCGTGGTACAGACGGGTGGCCTGGTAAGGAACAGTCTCTGGTCGATCAGGTGGGACGAAAAAAGGAAGCCCGTGTACAGGTTAAATAACCCTTGATATTTGGAATTCTGTGAACAGTAGGCGGAAACTGGCCAAATTTCCCCCATAACACGCGGCATGGCGTAAGCCCGTCTTCATTATCGCAGTTGGTGCAGAAAAGTAGGGCGTTAAACCCTACATTCCAGTACTTCATGGCATCTAAGCAGATGTGCTAACAAGTATGCTAAATGTTTCTAGAGTAATTTAATTAATATGAATTTAATATATATTACAGGTGTATGGATGTGATGGATGCAGTAGATTAGCCAAATCATCTAAGAGATCTCCATGTGGTCATAGTATATTTATATTCAAGTCGCTCTTATATAATAAAGGTAATATATATGTTTGAGAGGAGGTTAACGAGACACAGTAATTCAGTTGTGATTTATACCATTGTGCATATGTCAGACGACCAGTCTTTCAAGATTCATTATGTATGACGTAATCCACTCAACACTCAACCTGGGCTAATGAAGACGGGCATACGCCATACAGTGTGCTATGAGGGAAATTTTGCCCGGGCAGCGGCACTATCGCCTACTCTTATATCGAATTCCAACTGCCAAGGGATCTTTTACGTGCATTCCAATGTATACACGGGGCCTCGGTTTTTCGTCTCATCCGAAGGACTAGACAGCTGTCCTTGTCAGGCCCTCCGTCCTGCATCACTGACAAGGGGGAACCACGCCGGAAAATCTGGATGAACTTTCTCGTCCAATGCAGGGATCGAACACCCGACCTCCAGGCTAGCGAGCCAGCGTCTTACCCACTTAGACTATTAGACAGGCGCGGATAGAGCGAGATAGTGCATGGTTGCCCCCCCCCCCTCTTACTATCTATTAGTAATTTTATTTTCGTACGCCCACATTTTAATGTGATTTTCAGTGATAGTTTCCGTCGTTATGCCCTTTTAACTATGAAGTCTCCGTTAATACACAAGAAACTGCCATAATCAATGTATATATTGTTTTAATTGATATGGTTTGTCTCATTGAAACGCATGATCCCATTGAATTTCATCGTCTTTCAATAGTCACCTCATAAAGTATACCCATTTGAAGCAGGTTACAATTATTAGTCTGTCTTTCTTAAATTTAGTTTGATTGTCTATTTATTGCATAAAAGAGACCCATTGATTTCCAAAGGTTTTCGATAATAACTCCCCGAGTTGTTCCTCTTTGTTACAAAATCTTGTTAGCATCTAACTCATGGCCCTATAGTTATTGTATAGGGGTCCTTATGCTTTAGAATGTATTATGTAATGAAATACCCACTATACACTTTAAACGTGGTTATAAGCTGTCTCGCTGCGCGACAAATTAGATTCAGTTGGCCCTCAGATACCCGTGGCCCAATGGATTATGATGTATTTGGGAGAAAATGCCTTCCCTCGTATTATAGAGGGAGAGAGAGAAATGGGGTCTAACGTCCACTCGACACAAACTAAATCATTTCGGGATTAACGCATGGTTCAATTTTATTTCAATAATTCGCTTGCGCGCAGGGGTCTTTAGCCATGGGAGGAAACCGGAGGACATGGAGAAAACTCAGGAGATTGGACAGGCGACCCTACTCCTTGTCACGTACAACCGGGGAATCGAAACCACGCCAGTTGACTCAATGACAACAGACCTTATGATACAGCGCGCACATGCTAACCCTTCGGCCATCCAACCCCCGCCTCGTATTATAGCTATCTACTGTAGTAGGTTGTGGTGACATACAACATAACAGGAAAAACTCACCTGTTCAATTATTACCACAATTGTTATTTATGGTAACGGTCGCCATTGAATAGGCCTAAACACTTAATAGATAGCACACATCAACGAAAAATGTCACATTATCGTAGGTGTGAAGCCAAACATACTGCTCAACTCGACCGATTCTCAGCGATCGATGTGTCATACTGCTCGGCGTGCTCGCAATGTTTGATAAATTTACACCCATTAAAGGTGAATTATGTAAGATTTAGATAAAGACCTGACAGTTCTCGTTATAATAGTTTAAAGGCTCAATACCACTCTTGTTGTAACTGAATAATATGTCCCAATCTTTATTCTGGTCAACAAATTGTACTATTTTAGAATATTTCAATTAATTGATGATACAAATTTCATCTTAACACACCTTATTTAAAAATTTTGAAAAATTCAACATAATGGTTTGAAACGTCTAACGTAAACCTTTTCAAATGAAACTTCGATTTAAAAATATTTTCGAACCCTCTGGACAAGTAAAATAGGATGTAATGGATAATTTACACAACAGGTAGGACACTTAAACATCTAGTACTTAGATAGAGCTATTATTTATTTTCTGGAACTTTCAAGCCAGCAAGAGTGTTATTGTCCCTTTAAATAGATAACGAAAAAGGGGTATATATTACTTCATTATGAATGTCTGGAGAAAAGCGCATTGCTACGATAATGAACAAAGTCTTGATTATCCATTTTTATACGCCCACATTCTCATAACCCAAAGATCTCGGTTCCTTTCTATCTTCGCGCATATCGGACCGTAACTTCCTGAATTATGGCCCCTGATTGTACGAAAAATCGCGTTTTTAGCTTGTGAACCCTATAGAGGTCATGATTTTTATCCGATTTAAAAAACCGTATTATTATATCATAATTACACCCTAAGGACAGCTGAGTTCGAATTTCGTGAAAATCGGCCCAAAACTGACAGACAAAATGGCCGCCGTTCGTTCTCAAATAGCGTAAAAATATGGTATATCAAGGTTGTGGATCCTATGGAGGTCACAATTTTTATCCGATTTTGTTGAAACTTGAAATGCGCATATCGAATTGTAATTCCCCCCTCTCTCTCTCTCCCTCTCTCTTTCTCTCTCTCCCTCTCTCTTTCTCTCTCTATCTCTCTCTCTCTCTCTTTAATGCATAACTTTTTTTGTCTGACCAATACGCCGGTAGTCTAGCTATTAGCCACTCCAACAACTCTGTCTTGTTTGTATGCTGCCTACAATGGAGTGTTTATGTACAATACAATCGTATCTTATCATCGGGTAGTGTTCCTTACTTTCTATTTAAAAACAAAACCCAAGGTAACACACTGAAACTTTTTCTATATAAAAATAATCTCGTTTTAAATTGTTTACACCAATTGATTTGTTAAAAGTGTTTGTTAAACATACATCTGCCAATTGCGGGTCTTTCTTTATCGCTAGCTTGCGATATTTACTGGTTTAGAACCCGGTCTTCTGATTCTGATTAAATCCAAAAATGGATAGTCGAGACTGTTTTTTTATCGTCCGACTTTAGTAATGATAATCGAGGCTAGGCTCAAAATTCGATCGCTAAATACTCGGTTCAGGGTGGACCAATTTGACTGAAATTTTCAGCAAATTCTCTTTACATTATCTAGTTTTTAACTATTACAGTGAGAACTACCAGATCTTTATCTAATCTCCCATAATGTATCTTTAACCAGAGGGTGCCGTTCAGGCTAGCAATAGTGATGATACATTTCGGCTATGTCGATCTGATGAAAGTGAAAGGCCAAGATGTGAAGAAGTAGTCTTTAGGGGTTAAGTAGCTCTTCCAGGGCGCTTCCCTTTAATTTCTTCATAACGTGACCTAGTCTGTAACGATTGTAAACTTTGCTAAGAGGTGATTAAAAGGAACAAAATCTGCAATATTCTACCATTCGCTGGAAATGAAAATAAAAAAAACAGGAATGTATAGCGGGCATTTGCACCCGTCTGAGATGTAGGCAGTTCGATCCAGGCAAAAGATAATACTATTACGAAGCTCTTCTCAAACTCTTGGGGCCGACTCGATTTGTTTCCTTCCTCTACCGGAAGATCTCCATCACGCACTTGTTTTGGATTCCTCCGCTCTCAGAAGATATTTGGGCCTAGGGGAGACAGAATAACTGTATATTACATTTGTTTCAATCTGATTAAAACACAGATCCTATTTCGTTTTGTTTTTATAGTTCAAAATTTCGTTTTACTTGTCTTTACTACACTTGGATCTGGAAGAGTTGTTATTTAACTCGTGTTCTGAATGGTGTCAGGGATAAGCCAGAGAAACGGTCTGTTACGGCGAGCTTTAGGCTTGTTTTGCAAGGAACTGTGGGTAATCCACTAGTAACATCAATGCTGATTGGTTAATCAAATGTCTGACGTCATAGGGTCATAAGTCGGTCTTTTGACCCCTGATGTGACCTATCGCTATAACTTGTCAGATCTTCGTGTAGTGTAGGCCATCGAAAGTATAAAAAAAACGAAACGTAATATAGATCTGTATTTTAATCAGATTGACATTTGTTTCTGATGTTTACTCGATTCACAGAGTCTCCCGGAAGAGCTTATACTGCTTCTGGATTGGCAAATCGAGTCGGTCTCAGCTGACAACTGGATGTTGGCAGTTCTTCGAAAGCGTATCACGGGCATTCGGACAGTTGCTTGAAGCTAGACTAAAGTGTTCACGGCGCCTTCCATAAAGAATTAACCAGATGTATTCGCTATTATATATCCTTTATTTTTATGTGTAATTTCACTTTATTTTTTTCTAGTCACCAGAGAAGTGTGTAGAGCATGTGGGATAGCTTTAGGAATTGGTACATTTATAATAGGTATGTATACAAGAAAAACAACATTGCTGTTTGTTATAGGTCAATTATGATGGATTGTCCCCCTTTATTAATATGTCAATGATACCATTACAGATTTCCAACTGGATAAAAGTTGTACATGCTTCTCAAGTAAATATCAACGAATAAAACCACAAGAGAGGTGGGGACTAAAAACTGCGCATTTTGTTTTAGTTGCCGTCTGCGTGTACTCCGTGATCTAGCAATTGCAAGGCTAGAACCCCAAATCGATGCTGGCGTCCGCCCACATGGTCAAAACACAACCTTCTATCGAATAATCTAGTACAATTGTGAGGCACCTGCGAATACACCGACTGATTAGAAATCTACTTTTTTCCGATAGAGTTGTGCCGCTTTATAAGACAAGGAAAATTCGATGATAGGTCGAAAAATTTTGTTCCACCCGTGAAAAGTAGGCAGAAACACCGCTGTCGTACCCCGCCAATCACCACCGTCTCGGGTATTGCTTTTGTGACCATAAAACATATAATATATAGAAAACAATAGTATGTTCTGTTGATCTTAAAATGTTGGGTTCAATGGAATTCCTATCCGGCCTAGTACCTACCACAGATATAAACTCTCGGTCATTCAAATGACAGTACCCAAAAATTACTTTTTATTTTTTTCAGGTTTGCGATATAGAAACAGTTGTCATTTTGAACCAGCTATACCAATATTTTTAATGGTATTTGGAAGTGTACTCGCATTACAAACTGTATTTAGAACTATTTTATTATGTCGACCAAAGATAAAGATTGTAGAAGGAGAAGCTGAAGGATTAGATCCGTTAGCAATGTTGATAAAAATACAGACACTATTCTTAGTACTGTGGATTTTAGCAGGTATATTACTTTTTATCTTTTCTAGGGAATTTTATTTTCTAAAAAAAAAAACCCAAAAAACAGAATAATGAAATAGTAAGGATGCTACTACAAAATTATTTGTTGACCTTTGGGTCTAGTGTAATCTTAAAGCCGCTGGTCGTCATCAGCATTTTTCAGGCAATATCTAATCCATGCTGAAATGTAGTCTAATTGATTACAAAGCATTTAAATCAGAAAACAACCAAAATTACTTTTTATCTTTTCTAGGGAATTTTATTTTCTAAAAAAAAAACCCAAAAAAACAGAATAATGAAATAGTAAGGATGCTACTACAAAATTATTTGTTGACCTTTGGGTCTAGTGTAATCTTAAAGCCGCTGGTCGTCATCAGCATTTTTCAGGCAATATCTAATCCATGCTGAAATGTAGTCTAATTGATTACAAAGCATTTAAATCAGAAAACAACCAAAATATCAACACAATGTCAAAACTTTGTAAATACTGCACGGAATTAAACCATTATTGAACTGGTATTTCTTTTTGAGACGAGATTCAACTTTCACAATATTCTAATTTTTAAATAATTCAAAATTTCAAAAATGTCGATTAGCGGCTTTAACGCACCTCTTTAATTTAGTTTAAAATAAAAAATCTTGAATTTAGTTAATATTATTTAGATTATGGGTGGGGTAGGCTCTACATACATTTATATTTTCGTTTCGAAAGATTTAAGAGGAAATCGGTTTGTTTACTAAAGTTAATTTCGTGGAAAGTGAAACGCAGAATCAACATTAGATCTTTTCAAAACAATGTGTATGGGGTTTTATGACCAAACGAGCTTTGCCAAAAATGAAAAAAAAATATTGTGTACATTGGGTTTACCTTAAAAAGCAGATCATTTATGGGATATAATCCAACTATTGTTTTAAAAAAAATAAAATATTTATGTATTTTTCATCTGTCATAAAAAAGTAATTATTAACATTGTTATGTATCAAGTATAAAAAATATACTTATTATTATTATTATTACAGCATATTTATAGTGCGCCCTTTCATATAACATGTTCAGGGGCACTTTACAGAGTGACAATGTAATCACAAATAAACAACAAGATTATGGACACGTTAACAGTCAGTTAAAAACCTGATTAAATAAATGTGTTTTAAGTTGTTTTCCAAAGAATATAGAGATGTACAACATCTTAAACTAAATGGTAGATTATTCCATAAAACAGGTGCTTGAAAACTAAAAGAGCGCTGACCGTTAAAGACTAGTTGAACAATTTGGGGCATTAAAAGTAGTTTATCTGATGTATGTACTTGCTTTGATAAAACCAAACATTTTATTTTGTATTGATAATTCTGTAATTTCACACAATTGTTTTGTTTCAGGCTCAGTATGGATTTATAGTGCCAAGGGTATAGTGCAGTTTTGGCAACTCAATATTGCTAATTATTGTAACGTTACCGTGTTTTGGACGTCGTTTGGTGTAGTTACGTCAGCGTACTGTAGTGTGTTCTTAGTGATAGTGTATTTTGTGTTGACCTACACAGTATTAAAACTAAACACAGATCAAAAATTGCGAACAGCCAGCGTTTCGTCCACAGATAGTGATGAAAGTAATAGTTCTGACCTCACGCCTGTGGAGTTTATAGCACCCAAGAAGATCTGATACTTGACCCCATCAAATTAAAATTTGTGATCGAGGATAGATAAGCACTATGGGTTATGTGATGAATGGGCAGATTATTTGTGACTTGGAGATCAAGTTATGATCTTGATCTTTACTGAATCAAGTTTATCTGCCCGACATATCCAATCTGGGATGGGGGCTTTCCACAACATCATCAAGTTATATACGTGATCTATACTCAACCAAATTTATTTGTCCGAAATCTTTAACAAATAATCTGAAACCATCCAATTGGTGATGATCACCACAAGATCACCGTGCTATGGTTGAGATACATACTCAGTTCAGTGTTAAATTGTATAGTGTGGATTTACTGAATCGTGATTTACATGTAGATACACAATGCTTTAAATCAGTTGTAACTGCAGTATTGATAGATGTTGGGTTAAAACAGGGATCCCTGCTCTACCCTTACTCTTTCTAGTAAATCATTAACATTACCGTGATCAAATGTTGTATTGGTTAAATATATATATTGTTTATTCTTTGAGTGCATCTAGTCATAAATAATAAACTCAAATAATATATTCATAATGTATGTGATATATGTTAGCATCGAAGTCAGCAGACTGTTAGCAGAGGGGAAAATTTCTTCATGAAGGTGGTATAACTTACCATTCCAACAACCCAAACGTTTTCTGGAATGGCACATTACCCTGTGGGACGTACGCAGGGTGCTCGCCACCATTTCGGCGATCTACTTGCAATGGCATACCACTTTGTGCGGTTTAAGACGGAGGGTTGTTGACACCAAACGCATGTGGTGGTTATCAATAGTATAGTGTAACAATAGTCTCCACGGAGTACAGTAACACAGATAAAATGAAATTGGGTATATTGTTGACTCAAATATTAATATTGTTGTTTGTATTGATATACACGTACTCGTTAAATAAAGGATATAAAACCTCTTTATTAAATCAAATTATTCTCGTATAAATAAAATTGTTGTTTATTTCCGTACAACAAAAAATAAATTTAAAAAATGAAATGAAATGAAATGGGGTTTAACGCTCTACTCCAAACTGGGCTAATGAAGACGGGCATACGCCATACAGTGTGCTATGAGGGAAATTTTGTCCGGACAACGGCACTACGGCCTACTCTTATATCGAATTCCAACTGTCAAGGGATCTTTTACGTGCATACCAATGTGTACACGGGACCTCGGTTTTTCGTCCCATCCGAACGACTAGACAGGGATCGATCACCCGACCTCCAGGCTAGCGAGCCAACGTCTTACCCACTTAACTTAGCCAAAAAACATCCAAGATTCTATGGAATTTGTTAAATATTATTTAGGTACCCAGCGCCCATACTGATTTCATCATCTTCCTGCGCTCAACACCCCCAAGCCATCCTTGTTTTTGTTAAATTAATTTATCCAGAGCTACCTCACAATCAGACGGCGGGGATACTTTTATATTCCCATAGTCAACTTTTCATTTGTGTGCATTAACAAACCCTATTATCGACCAGTGGTGTTTACATTTCTCTGTTTGCTGTTATGCTAGGGCATACGTATTCATGCGTACTTTATAAACTGAGAGACAGGCTACTGGCGGAGCAAAGGGTATTCGTTAATTGCACAGATCTGCATAAGGGCATCGTTGATAGGTGTAGAACGTCTTTGTCTATGGTCAGTTGGAATTTGATATAAGAGTAGGCCATAGTGCCGCTTCCCGGGCAAAATTTCCCTTATAGCATATTGTTTGGCGTATGCCCATCTTCATTAGCCCAGTCGGAGCAGAACAGTAGGGCGTTAAATCCCATTTCATTTTCATTTGTCTGTGATCGCCGAAGGTCTAACTAATCAAAACCAAATTCCCACTGTTGGCCCATATCAGTGGTGTAGGACGGAGGGCCAGACAAGTCGTTCGTATGAGACAAAAATCCGAGGTCCTGGGTACATACTGGCGTGCATGTAAAAGAAACCTTGACAGTTGGGATTTGAAATAAGAGTAGGACGCCATGCTGCTGTATGGGCAAAATTTCCCATATAGCACATTGAAGAAAAGTAGGACGTTAAATCCCATTTCATTGATCACTACCTTATGCCAATATATATGGCCTTTTGTTATTAGGTCAACCTTATAACTCAAGGTATTTTATGGAGACAGACACCAAAAATTATCACATTGGCTTTAACATTTACTCTTGTAACTTTGCCAGATCTAAAATTTCCCAAAATTCTCGCGACGGGAAACCTTCCCAACAAACGGAGCAACATCTAGCAAGGTTTTGCTCGAAAGCATGTATGGAGTTAACCTTGGAAATTTGAGATGTAAATTTAAAGTAGCACCAGTGATCAGGTAAATATCCACCGAACTTTGTTATCCTTTCGCCTCAAAATCATGACTGCTCAGAAAGTATTATTTCAAACACATTTTCTTGAATCCAGACGGAGGCGAGAGAGAGAGAGAGAGAGAGAGAGAGAAGAGCGAGAGAGAGAGACTAACATACGGTTCAATTTTATTTCAATAATTCTCTTACGCGTAGGGTTCTTTAGCAGTGAGAGGAAACCGGAGGTTGGGCAGGAGACCCTACTCCTTGTCATGTACAACCGGGGAATCGAAACTACGCCAGTTGACTCAATGACAGACTTTATGATACAGCGCGCACGCGCTAACCATTCGGCCATCCAGCCCCCGGAGACGTTAAGATAAATCAGCATGCAGAAAGTTGACCAAAGAAATAATTAATGGTCATAAACTACATAGAGGAAGCAATTATTGTTCGGCTTTCATTCGTACGTTATGGAATACATAATTGTGTCCCTATTCTATTTAGAATTCTTGTCTGTTTATCTCAAAATAATGGATATTCACCAAACTCTGACAGAAAAACTTCAGACATCCCTGTCCATTCTCTGCAAAAAGTCAACAATTATCACCGGAGGAAGACAGATTTGCTATCTAATTTTATTATATACTATTCAAAAAAAGTAGGGGATATTTGATTTTTAAGTGTTATTAAAGTCACCTAATGAAACTGACGAAGAAACAAATGACAAAATGAAATGAAGTTCACATTCATCGATTTATTCCAAATGATCGTTAGACTAAGTAAGGCACAAACTGACCATTATAAGGGTAAAATGATACCCGGGGTCAAACAGCAAAGTTACCACAGCATCACAACCAAGTCAGTAACGGGTAAATCCTCCTCTGTTTGCCAAACAAGCATTGATCCGACGTGGCATACTCCTAATGAGACGTCTAAGGTCATTTTGGTCCAGATTGTCCCATTCCTGTTGCAACGCAGCAGCAAGTTCTTGGACATTGGCAGGACTCTGTTGACGTTGACGTAACCTCTGTCCAAGCATGTCCCAGACATGCTCGATGGGGGAGAGGTCGGGACTCAGTGCTGGCCAAGGTAATGTGGTGATGTTCTGTTGTTGGAGGTAACCTGTAACGATCCTGGCCCTGTGACATCTTGCGTTGTCATCCTGGAAGCGCTCGTTTCGACGACGCCACACCCTCCTACGTCTGTCCAAAAAATCAACAGTGAACCTTGACTCATCTGAAAACATCACATTGCTCCAGCGTCGATTATCCCAGTGTTGACGACCCCTACACCAACGACGTCTTGCCTGAATGTGATGATCTCTCAAACAAGGGATCACGCGAGGACGTCGGGCGCGAAGGTGACCCCTATGCAGTCGATTCCGAATCGTCTGGCCACTCACTCTCACACCAGTGTCTGTTTGAAGACGAGCGCTGATCTGATTTGCTGTGATGACACGATTTCTCAAGGCCAAGGTACGGATAAATCGATCCTGGGCTTGAGTTGTCGCCCTTGGTCGACCTGAGCGTGGTCTGTCCTGTACAGATTGTGTATCACGGTATCTGGACCATAGCCTGCTTATGACAGACTGAGAAACATTCATCGTCCGCGCCACAACCGCCTGTGTTGTGCCGATCTGTAGCATGCCAAGGGCACGTAACCTTTCATTTTGGGTAAGCCTACGCATATCAAAATTTGTTTTCTGGTCACTAAAACAATTAAACTGATGTTTCCACCCTGGAATTCAATGCCACAATGACTGTAACATTCAAAGTCAGAGTCGTGCAAATCTTGGGTTGGACCCCCATGATGATCCCAAGCATCACCTGCATTCCATGCGGTAGCTATTGGTGCGTTTGGGCGTCACATGTAACTGGAAATGTTTCTTCTGTTAGGTTCTATAGTGACTTTTTTCGTAGTCATTTGCATATTTTAGTATTATGCCCCCAAAATCAAATATCCCCTACTTTTTTTGAATAGTATATATATAATAACAGCGTTCATGAAATCAGGGGAAATAATTACTAGTCGTAGATTTTATGGGATTAGACCACATCAGTTATTGGGTACTTCTGACTTATTTTGATCAAGTTTAGGGCCGCTGTTGCTCGGTTAGTATGGCACTGGCTTACTTCAGTTCAGTTATTGGAGAAAAATACTACATAATCCGGATAAACTATAATTATAATATTGTCCACGGATTCTATGTATGCCAACCTAGTTTGCAGCAGTCACAATTTAAAGGACAGTCCGAGTTTTCACATGGTATATAGAAAATCAACGTGGATTTAATTATGAAAATCAAACTCAAAGATGCGACAGTATAGCCCTTTTACCTTGTTCGAAAAATTCTATTGATCCCCAGACTTGCTTATAGGGGCTATTCATTAAATACATCTAGACCTGTGCCTTTAAATACACAGTTGAATTATTATGGTTAATGTTTTTGAGGGTACTGTTTTGCCAGTGTATATAATTGCGTTTCAGTTCACTGCAACTTTATTAGTATTATTTTTCATATTTACAAAGTTACAAATATACAAAAAAAAACAAAACAGAAAACATTCATTTCACATACATTCACTATTAAAAATAATCATTTACTCCATTTTTATAAATACATACATGTTTAATACGTATTACTCTCTAATTTTGAAAACCAGATAAGGTCAGTGACCTGGGTTGTTGAGACTATTGCTAGTTTCAGTTTAGTTTTTCCAGTGACTATTACTAATAGCTTTATTACCATCCCTACACGTGCTTTCAAAAGTAGAAATCCCTTATATTGCGGATACCACTATACTATAAACTGGAGATATTTGGGTATACGAAACAACAGTCTGAGAATAGGCTAGACAAAATCTGGCTTATTAATAATATTAGCAGTGAGAAAAGGGGGGCTTTACTTTACTGGGATCAACTGCTGTAATATTCGCATCCGCTTTCCTACTGTCGCTGCCACTGCATACGTCTAAATTGCAGTTCAATCGAACACAGTAGGTTAACTGGGTTATGTAAAGTTAATAATATACTCAGCACTTTGTGGGTAGACAGGGGTTAGATCTATTTGATAAGGCCAACTTTAAGTTTGAAGTTTGGTCAAAAGTCACGAGACGTAAACAGGGCTAGCGCTAACCCCAACCCTAACCCTAAGCCTGGACCTAGCCCTAACGCTTATCCCAACCCTAACCTACAATGTCGCCAACAATCTCGTGCACTAACTTTATTTACATATCAGCGACCTTGACGAAAATTGAGTTTGCCTTAATAAATAGATATATCCCTTCACATGTATCATTTCGATATGGATACAGATCACCACATATTTCTCCATTGCCATTACTGTTAAATCTATTGTCTTTGGCCGGCTCATACTATTTCCCTAAGTTTCGTTGGGTTGATCATTGATCGAGTAACACGTCGTAACGCCATGCTCAAAAGCATGTATGTCGTTAATCCATGGCAAAGTGGAAGTAGTATACTAATAAACATGTAACTAACCACCGTACATTTCAATCCAACCAACCTCTTAACACCTCCGTTATCATTCTGCCTTAAACTCATGAATATCCACAAACACCAGCCACACAAAGCGGGAAATAGACGGCACTAAGAGAATAAGTGGTGGTCTGTCTCCAGATAGATGATTAAGGGGCGACAATCGGATAACAGAAATTTCGAAACCACTGGCAGATGTCATTTCCTTGTTACGAAGCCCATGATAAATAACATAAATATAGATACATGTGTACAAAATGAAATATATATTTCCTTTTGATTCAAAAGGTTTCCATATAAGACTCAAACTAGATCTCCTTGTCATTTTTTAACGCACCTGTTTCGGGACGTCCATTGTATAAAAAAAACGATGCGGAGAATTTAACATTCGATTAATAGATCTAGCTTTAAAATGAGAATACGTCGATGTCAATCAAAATCTGCCTTCTCTACTCGGTCCACTTCCTCCCGGCCCCGGCCCCCTCCCTTTATCCAAAGCCGATGGTTCCGCGGTACCATTATGCGGCGACACTCGACCTGTTGTTCTTGAAACTTTTTCTAGTACTAAACATGATGTAATCATACTGGCAATCTATAATATAAAATTAACAATGTCTAGGAATCGGGATCATTAATATTGCATGTTACTCTTACAAAGGTTGGGGTTCGGAGTATTGAAATCGCTCGAAATGCGAGTTAAAGAACACGCACATATTTTAAGAATGTGGTTTATTTTATTGGCCATAATTTTCACTCTTAGCAAACGAAAAAGTCACACACTTAAAATATTTTAGTTGATTTTTTTCCGAAATAAGCTCCCAGGAATTATAAAACTATATGAAAACCATTCTTGGGCGCACAAGACACAATTTATTGGGCGTAAGCTTCGGGACGGGTCAAAAACACTGAAGTTCGAGGGCATAGGCAATTGTATTAAGCAGAGCATTTCCTCAGACGAAACGGTTGTACTTTGGTATCGCAGTTAGTGTTCAGCAGACCATTTGCTCAGAAGAAACGGTTGCACGTTGGGTATCGCAGACTTTAGTGTTCTGCATAACATTTGCTCAAACAAAAATGGTTGCACATTGTCTATCGTAATCTCTGCTTCCAGCAGGTCATTTGAGGCGTATTGTTTTTGTTCCCAGAAAGCAGAAGCATCACTATAACGTTAGGTTTATAGGGATGAAAATCGATATTACCTGTACTAAAGAAACAATAGCTAATGTTGACGCCCAGATTGGTGTGTTACTGTTTATCCAGGCTTCTATTTTAGTCCAACAGCCATCCTAAAAAAAATAACATAATCAAAAATTAAGAAAAGTAATAATAGACTGTGTAGAAAGTATAAAGTTTGTTAAATGTCTAAAACACCGACTCAGACAAAATGGGTAACAAAGCTGCGACATACGAAAGTTACGCTGTCTGTCTACCTTATCTCATGAGAACAGACACGACACTGGTTGACCGACATTTTAATTCCTTAATCGACGATTTTAGTCGAAACACCAACTATGCTTTGACAATTTAAGCAATCCGATTTCTTAAAACGTACTATAATTTTTAACTCGAATCTTGAATGTGAATCTAGATTTGAATTCTTGCGATCAATTATCGGTTACAAAAACGACAACGGCAAGGACTGTAAAAGATGCCATCCCTCACTAGTGAATGCCAATCTTGAAAAATTTCACGCCGGGATTTGAACCCCAGGGCACAGCAATATTATACTATATTCAAAAATCTCCAGTCAGTTGCATGTTTGATATCGCTAGCTTTTTATATGCAACAAACATGACTATGGGATATGTTTTTGTTACCTCTATCGTTAGCGGTACCATGTCCCTAACTTAAGCCTTTTCTACCACGTTTATTGTGCAATCTTGCTAATGATCTTGCTTACGCCATGCATTGTGCTATGAGGGAAATTTTGCTCGGACAGCAAAAGAATCGCACGTGTTCTTTTACGTGAACGCCAAGGTGTATACGGGACCAAACTGTTCCTTGTCATGACCTCCGTCCAGCACTACTGACAAGGCGAAACCGCACTGGAAAATTCCTGAGAACTTTCTCGGCCAACATCGGGACCGAACCCCGGATCTTCTGGTGGGTGAAATAGCGCCTTATTCACCGTGCCACCGCGGTTCCCACTTGAGACTGGAAATGAAATGAAATGAAATGGGGTTTAACGTCCTACTGATCTGCTCCTAGGTACTGGGCTAATGAAGACGGACATACGCCATACAGTGTGCTATGAGGGAAATTTTGCCCGGACAGCGGCACTATCGCCTACTCTTATATCGAATTCCAACTGCCAAGGGATCTTTTACGTGCATTCCAATGTATACACGGGACCTCAGTTTTTCGTCTCATCCGAAGGACTAGACAGCTGTCCTTGTCAGGCCATCCGTTCTGCACCACTGACAAGGGGAAACCACGTCGGAAAATCCCGATGAACTTTCTCGGCCACTTGAGACAGGAAATGAGTATTATAATGTTTTTACCTTGAATACAGTTTGTTCTGATTTAGTTGTTATTGTACCGGGTATACTCGTCTGAAAACAACTGTCTGGTAATTGTTCTAATGTAACTGAATATTCATTTGAATCATTATAACCACAACACCGTAGCTGAAAAAAACAAATAATCATCTTTAGTTCTTACATCTTATAAATATGGGCCTCCACACAACACAATACAGACTATTTCGGCACATTTTATTTGCTTGCGAGTAGGGATATATACCAAATGGCTATTTTTATGGACCAATAAAGAACCGCCATTTTTACATGAAATCTAGTACGTTTATCTTTTAACCTTTATCGAAAATTCTGACTGACCAGTTGAAACATGAACGTCATAAATACGAGGGCCTACGATGGACGAAGCTAGAAAGAATTTAGTACTTTTAGTCAAACCTATACTGCCAATTTTACTGGTCATTCAAAACGACTCCTGACTTACTTAATCCCTGGCTAATCTACTCGATGATGCCATCTTGCAATCTATGTGAGTAACTACACAAGAATAATATGGTGTTTAAAAATGATCACGTTTTCGTCATTTGCGTTTGTGGATTGCCCAATCTGATCAAAATACAGATCTTTATTTCGTTTCGTTTTTTTATACTTTCGATGGCCTACACTACAAGTGTAGTAAAGACAAGTAAAACGAAATTTTGAACTATAAAAACGAAATGAAATAGGATCTTTGTTTTAACCAGATTGTTGATTGCATCCTTTGTTGTGAGTTTGTTTTCAAGGGACTGTACTGTGCAGTGGACGCCTACGTGGATCCATTTCCTTGCATGTTTATCAATCGCATTATCCATGTGTGATATGGTTTTTCATTTAGTTTGTCTTCTAGCGGTTTATTTTTCCATGTGTAGTGCGATTCTCCTTCACTTACTATTAGAAACACATTAAATAAAGTAATGTTATAATCTCTATATTGTGTGGCTAGTATCAGTGTTATAATCTCTATATTGTGCGTCAGTGTTATAATCTCTGTTGTGCGGCTAGTATCGGTGTTACAATCTCTATATTGTGCGGTTAGTATCAGCGTTGCCGTCCCTATATTGTGCTGTAAGTATCAGTGTTACAGTCTCCATATTGTGCGGTTAGTATAAGTGTTACAATCTCTATATTGTGTGGTTAGTACCAGTGTTACAATCTCTATATTGTGCGGTTAGTATCAGTGTTACAATCTCTATATTGTGCGGTTAGTATAAGTGTTACAATCTCTAAATTGTACGGTTAGTATCAGTGTTACAATTGCTATATTGTGCGGTAAATATCGGTGTTACAATCTCTAAATTGTGCGGTTAGTATCAGTGTCACAATCTGTATATTGTGTGGTTAGTGTCAGTGTTGTCATTTCTATATTGCGCGGTTAGTGTCGGTGTTACAATATCTATATTGTGCGGTTAGTATCAGTGTTTTCATTTCTATATTGTGCGGTTAGTATCGGTGTTACAATCTCTATATTGTGCGGTTAGCATCAGTGTTGCCATCTCTATATTGTGCGGTAAGTATCCGTGTTATAATTTCTATATTCTGCGGTAAGTATCAGTGTTACAGTCTCCATATTGTGCGGTTAGTATAAGTGTTACAATCTCTATATTGTGAGGTTAGTATAAGTGTTACAATCTCTATATTGTGCGGTTAGTATAAGTGTTACAATCTCTATATTGTGCGGTTAGTATAAGTGTTACAATCTCTATATTGTGCGGTTAGTATAAGTGTTACAATCTCTATATTGTGCGGTTAGTATAAGTGTTACAATCTCTATATTGTGTGGTTAGTATCAGTGTTACAATCTTCTCTATATTGTGTGGTTAGTATCCGTGTTGTCATTTCTATATTGTGCGGTTAGTATCGGTGATAGAATCTCTATATTGTGCGGTTAGTATCAGTGTTACAATCTTTATATTATGTGGTAGGTATCAGTATATCTCACTAACTTCTGTTTGTATTAATCCCCTGGTTTCCTGGTTAAATTCTCTCCACCCAGAAGCTGTATACTTTGGGATCTGAAAAGATTATCAAAAATGTGTTAAGTCGCGCTATTATCAAGTTTTTAGATTGTCAAACTATTTTGATAAAGTGGGTCCTCGGTCTCTAAAATCATATATCAAATCAATTTGATTATTCATTTGCCAACATTTGGTGGAGGATGCGAAATCGGGTTAGTTTTAGGAATCCTCATAACTCTCCATAACGACGTTATTCCCAGAAAATGGCACATATCAAAAACTGTAAATGTGGCTTTCTTATCCATTCATTGTGACAATGTGATTTTTTTGTGAAATTAACTAGAAAAGATTGAAGATCACAAAAAAAGTAGCCTAAGTTTGAAACTTGTTTATGTATTATAATGGAATTTGTACCTATTAAAGATGACATAAAATTAACAATCTACCTGATCTTTTTGAACATATGCAGCTAAAATAGTACAAACTTCTAGAAAAAACAAGGCTGTGATAAAACTAATATACTGAAAAAAAGGCACATATTAAACATAAACAAACATAAATTTCCTCTCTGTATTATGGTAGAAGTAGATATAAAAACTTCTTAAAGCGAGAATTTCAAATTTTCTAAGAAAGTCAAAACCTAATTATTTCTATGTCTTTTGCTCAATAGGTTATCAAATCACTATTATACGATTATGGGCATTATTTCCCACCCTTAAAAATCTATGACACAGGAAATAACAACACAATTACCTCCCCTGTTTTGCTATTGACAACATGGGGCAGCCATTTTCCAACGTTGGAATTTGAAGTTAAAAATGATATTTTTGCCAATTTCTCAGCTGGCAATAGCGAATTATAGGATTAATAGGATTATTCTTTAACAAGGTAGGACTGTTTATGGATACCATCTATTTTAAGACTTTATTTTAATACATTTTAAAAATATAACTTGAAAATTTGCAATTGCAACTTTAAATACCAAAGTAATACTTTTATATGCCAGTTTTAAAGTGGCATTTTAACTGTAGCCAAAAAAGTAAATGTTATTAATTTTGAATAGCGTCGTCACAATAAATTCAAGCAGTGGTCTTTTAGAGTAAGTCATATTTCACGTGGTAGCTAAACATCTTGAAAAGCACTTACCAATTTGTACGACTCGATGTTAACATAGGTTTCCGAATTTGTCTTAAATTTTGCATACAATCTAATTTAAATACATAGAACACAATTGTATGGAACACCATTACTGAGCGACGTTTCGTGCCGTCCAGTAACAAACAGTAATGGTATTCCATAGAATTGTGTCCTTGGTATTTTCAGTTCAATTAATAAATGTCATTAAAATAAATTAATTCAAAAATGTTTCGTGTTAACAGGTAAACTTTTTTATTTACCAAAGAATGATTGTCAGATTTTTTTTGCCTTTAAAATGATATAAACATACTAACTGTTTTTAAGAGACAGGGACTTTCAGTACAACCACCAATACAACCAAATAGACCTTTAACAAACATAGAAAAATCATGGTTTAATATTTCAAATAGATTAAAACTAACCAGATGTGCTTAGAATTTCTTGGCTACCACATCTCATGTGGATGCACTTTTATTGTTATACTATTATACAAACTGACTGTGGGCATTACTGCTCATACGAAACTTATGTTGTCAGGGGCGTACATAACGATTTTGTTTGGGGGGGGGGGGGGTGTTTAGCCAAAATACGACCGACTGATGCACATACCCCCAGTACGAGTGACGCAGTCAGGAGCCGCGCACCACAGGTACGAGTTTTCTAGAGGCCATGTGCAGAGCGGGTCTAGAAGCTGGGAAAAGGGGGTGAGGTAGGGGTAGTTCCAAATCTAGGGTGCCATCCACAAACCCACCCCACAATGAATATCAACAAAATACTGGCTATAACATTAAGCGTCCTAGTAGAACATAGACAGTATTGTATAATTATATAGTTGTTCGCCGATCGTTGTCTCGCCGGAAAGCAGTTTTATTTAAGTTGACATAAAGGTTATGTCATATATGATGATTGTGCCTATAACACTGAGTACCCTGAGAAAATTTTGGAAAATTTGAGACAATATCGTAGCACTTTAGGTCATTGCTGGGAGAAAGTCTTATGGGCGAGAGGACCAGAAATGTGAGCCATTGGGACATAATCTCGAGATCTGCCCGTCAATTCGCCTGTTTTGCAAGAGTTGACATAACATTTGTATAGTCTGACGCCCCACGACCCACACATCAGTATAATTGGGCAGTTCACTATAACCGTGAATATGATGGTGCTGAGACAGTATAAGAAAACAGGAATAGAAGAATAATGTTATAACGGAATCGAGCGCCGCAGGCGCGAAAAAATTTCAGATATGTAATCGAGCTTTTAATTTTTCGGGACTGGGCCTGGAAATTTTAGTCATTGTCATGGCAAATGAAACCAAATTCTCGCTAACGAGAGGATAAGAAATGAGACAGAATCTTGTGGCCTATCTGTCAATTTCGCCTGTTTTGTAATTGGTTGTTTACCTCATTAATTCATTTAGTCTTAGACCGACTGCGGTGAGTACTTTTTTTGAGACCGACTATTTTTTTGCCATTGGGGAAAAACATTTCATAGAACAACATACTCACAACAGAATATGAGTGACAAACATTTTTTCAAACATGACAAGCAGACATGGTTATTTTATACTATAGTTTTGTGTGACGTATGCAATTAGGCTCACGGATTCACACAAATACATAGTATTTGGGATCTATTCTGGCATTGTTTTTTTACCTCATTAATTCATTGAGTTGCATAATTTTGAGACCGACTGCAGTGACTGCACTTATTTTGAGACCGACTATTTTTCTCCCTGGGTAAAATTTTGTTCATAGACAAACATACTCACAACAGAATAAGAGTGAAACACAACATTTTTTCAAACATGATAAATTGACAAGGTTATTTTATACTAAGTTTTGCGTGAGTAGCGTGACGTATGCAGTGAGCACTTATTTTGATACCGACTGCTCTTATTTTGCGACCGACAGCACTGATTTTCCGACCGACTATTTTTCTTCCTGGGGGGGGGGGGGGGTGTACCACCCCCCCCCACACACACACACACACACATTTACGCCCCTGTATGTTGTCTACAATTAGCTCAGCTTCAGAACAGAGCCGACATTTTAATTCATACATTGACGATTTAGTATAAAACACCAAGCATGCTCGATAATTGAACATGTTTATTTAGTCTTCGTTTGTATGAAAAGTGTAAAATGGACTAGAATCGCATAACAAAATAGTCGCTAAATTTCCATCATGGCGGCCATTCAGGGCAGAGGTCTATTCTCAAAGTAAGTATTTTTCTGTGTGCAGAATATCTACTGCTGTGGTAATGTAATCTGGGTCCAAACCAGTGTTCCAAACATACCGTGCTGCAACTTTGGATTTTGTCTGTCCATCTCTCCGATTAATCGTGTAGTATGTACAGTGAACACCCAGGTTACCTCAGATAAGATCTGGAGCTTTAAAAAGTCGGTGGACAGATTCTATACCCCCCCCCCCCCGCCTCATTTGTTAGTATAAAAACTGTTGACATTACTTACCAATGATAAAAACAAGAATACCCAGGGATATTAGAGTGTATGTAAAAATCTAAAATATATAAGACATAAGATATTAAAATATATATCATATCACAAATGGGGGGGGGGGGCAGTGACATCAAATTTGACATTATTAATAGAGGAAATATGAAATATAATATTCTGTATATAATTAGATCAATGTATGCATCATGATTTAGTCAAGATAATCTGCTCAAGTTGGCAGTTGACTCTATTGGTAGCCATTGCACTGATATTATTTTTTGTCAAGTAGAGTCTACTTCTGATATCCAAATCGAAACTATCGTTCCAATAAGCTATGGGTGGTGGGATGTGTCATGCACGAAATATGATATGCTTCCAGTTTTTACAACATCTAATACCACTTCTCATTTATTCCGAAGTTAACATAGCTAACCATCACTCCTCGACGGTGGTCAGATCTAAATATTAAGGCCAACTGCAGATTTCGTCAATGTGTATTTAGGGTTAGGATAAGAATTGGGGGAGCGCTTGCCCTGTTGACATTCCGTGACCTTTCACCAAATCAGCAATTGGCCTTAATATTTAGACCTTATCCCTCAATCGGTATCTATACTTACGAAAGTTCCGGACAAAAAATTACTAACAGACGGATTGGTTGCCAACAGCCATGATACAAAGGCCACGACAGCTAAACCAATAGCCTGTAATAAAAGTTATTATTCAGTAAATAACGGTACAAATCATTGGGTTTATTTTAAGTAAACATTTTTAATTCTTTATGCAAAGGTCAACCGGAAGTATATAACCCGGTTTTATACACACACGACTGTATTTAAAATGATATCATTATTTGATTCTCTTCCTCATAAATAATGTGTATGTGTATGAAAAATCCAAAAGTATTTTTTAAATGTTGAACATTACGCAAGCTGTGCTTGATATGCATTGGGCGAACTGGTACATTTTTATCCCATCGTCATAAAAAATTGCTTTTAAAGTTTGCTTAAAGGAGCTAAATAGTTAATATTTGGGAGCTAGAAATTGCCACAAATGGGTCGTAATGCATATAATAATGTAATATGAATGTATATAAACTGATTTACATTCTATCGTTTCTGTTTTTACTGTAATTTCTAATCAGTTGTGTTCGACGAAATACACAAGAAGTCTCAATCGAATAGCAATCTCTAGCGTCTGGTTATTCCAGTCTACATCGATAGTATCATGTTCTCCAGATAAGAATATGGGTCACCGTTGACATGACTTGTTACAAATGGCCCTGAAACGCATTATGGTACACGATTCGTGTACCAATGGTAAAATATTTATTTTATCTTAGGTATTGGATATCAAAAGCCCATCTTTTCCCGGAAAGATCACAGCATCAATGTTGATTTAAATTGACAAATAATTTGTGTTTTCAATGTCGAAGACTTTGGATGATACAGAGTTAGAGACTTAGCTACTTTAAATTTGATGTGTAATGTCTAATCATCGCCATATTCCCGAAGCAGTGGTAACAAACATTTGCTCATTAATCACTGTAAATTAATAGTACAAAATAGAACAAAATACAAATTCTAACTGCAATATTTAAAAAGTAAGTCATATAAATTAGCATTTTTACACGTTTAAATAGCAAGTGTGGCATAGTAAGTAATGGCATTCACTGATGTAAGCATGGTTTAATAAAAGAGTTAGAATTATATTAGAATTATGTTCGTGCAAGAAACCAAGTCAAGCCGTTACCAAGTCAAACCGCGACATGTTCCACGAGAAAGTATGTTTTCAAGAGAAGATAACTAATCAGAAACGTAACTTAACCATAATAAATATAGCAATGATTAATGAGTTGATAATAAACATAACCATTGCTTCCGGAATATGTTTGTCATAAACTTGTCCATATATAGTTTGGCTATTTAACGGTTTATTAATATGATACCATAAATAATAATATGGCGTGTACACGATGTGGAGGCTATAATAATAGATATCTTACAAATGATTAGCTTTGTTAATGAATTATTAATTAGGTAAATTATCATTTATCCTATGATCCGGGTCAAAGGTATATTTTTGGTTAAGGCTTTGTGTTCATTCGTTAATATTCTGGAAAATAACAGTTCACAACTTAATAAATGTCCAAAAACGACTCAACTGTCAGATTAATACGGCGCTAACAAGTTAAATATCTTGTTTCGACGAGAAGAAAAACTGAAGAAGGGCTGTAGTGCTACAGAGCAAATATAAAAAAAAACTCTTCCACCTTTTGTCATATTTGTTAGTAATAAATACCGTATTCACGATTGCAACTCTAATACACACAAAATATTCTGAACCGATTGTATCAGACATTATATACAGATAAAACTTCAGATTCTGACCAGCGCTCAGATTAGTGGTATTGCAAGTACAGTGAACATCCGGTTTACCTTAGCCTGAGGGAAGGTATAATGTTGAACGCAGATGCAAAACGCGAGGTTCGAGATTTCAACCTCAACGATTACAGAACAATAAAAGTCGAACAGTGTATGTTAAACATGATTCTTGTATTTTTTGTCAACGTGAAAATTTGTCTAAAATTTAGGTATGGGCGATAATCTAGATATTTATAATTTTGAGAAATTGGGCGAGATGTGCCTGTTCCTGGTTTTTCACGGTATCGAAGTATTATAATATGTGGGCAATCCTCTGTATTGTCTTGTTTCTTAAATTCTGATACATCTTAAATCTTTAAGAACTTTTTTTCCGACCAATGTACACTAACACATTCGTGGTTTTCGTTGTGTCTTACAATATACTGACATTGTGAAGATTTATTTTCCTCATCGACCTACCCGTTGTAAGGCCCATATCGTTGATTGTTTTGAAAAACGATGTTTTTCCAAAACAACCAATCCATTGTCATTATTTATTACTCTGTCAGTTAACTTGAAGAGTAATGGTTTATAACATGGCAACAGATATATTTATCGTTGATTAAACAGCATCTGACTTATAGATGACAGAATCATTGATATATTATATCGCGTTTGTTTAGAGATTCTATGTGTTGTAAATTTAAAGAAGGTAAATTTGGCTGACCTCCAAGAGTAATTTTGTTTATATTGAATATTACGGATACTATGGCTGATATGTCTTGTGTGAACTGGGAGATTGAGAATTTCTCCATTACCGGAGATTATTGATATGTTGCACATTTTTTTCTGTGATGGAATTGATTATTTTCTTAATCAAACATTTTTCTTACGAGATTTTAATAAGCGATAATCCAAACGAAAAATCAAAACGTTAATCGAATAGTTCATCTTGAGGCTAGATTGAAATAAAGTGGGGTTTAATATCTTACTTTCCTGTACCAAACGATTAGTTCCCCCTTGTCAGTGGTGCAGTTCAGAGGGTCTAGCAAGGGACAACGTATAGTCGTCCTGTGTACACAATGGTTTGCACGTAAAAGATTCCTTGACAGCTGGGATTCCATATAAGAGTAGGCCGCTGTCCAGGTAAAATTTCCCTCAGAGCACACTGTATGGCGTATGTACGTCTCCATTAGCCCATTCGGGGTAAAACAGTAGGACGTTAAACACCATTTCATTTTCATTTTCGCCTAAAGATTAAACACTTGTCCTTGCCTTAACCCCCCCCCCCCCAATCTTGCACCACTGACAATGCGAAAGCAGACTGGAAAGCAACTTGCATCTTTTTTGATCAACTCCGGAATGGAACCAGGGGCTTCCTGGTTAGTGAGCTGTCATATCGATGTAGATTAAAATGAAAAGATGACAAAAGGTAATTTAAAACTTACTACAAGAAAACGTGTAATAATACAGACAAAATACTTACCCAAAACAGAAAATTAACGAAGATAAAAGAATAACGAACAATTCCTGTTAGTGCCATTGTTCCTGATGATAACGAGGAAGACTAACGTCAATATACATAAAATAACAAAAAATATCCACAAACATGTGACCTAGACGCATGCGCAAACAAAACACAATGTTTTAGAAAATTCCTTCATATCCGACATGTCACAACATTGCACGAACATGGCATCGATGAGATATTCCAATTAGGGGGATATAAATTAGGGAGTAGAAGCTCTAGTTATCTGCCTTGTTTTACCCCATACCCTGATTGATTTGAGACGTTCACAAAACTAATAAAGTCTGTTTTCGTATTCGAACCACACCAAGAAAAATATTGAACATATTAGACGTTCAGTTTCCTCTACGCTCTTCATTTGCCGTCTTGATTTATAACTATTTGTTCGTCTATATCATAACATTTGTACGTCTCTCGCTTTAATCCATGACATTGTTGAATAGACCCATATCTCTTCAAGGTTTTATCCAAGTCCAGATTAAATACTAACCTGAATATCGTTGATTTACTGTCAATCAACCAGTAGAAGAAAGGCGCTAACAACATTTAAATATAAGGCGGATATTATTCTAACTACGATCTCATTATGTCAAGTCACACAATGGCGGATTTGTTCTTTATAGTCAATATATTGTCAAATTTAATCAAATTACTTCATTTGTTAAAGTGAAAGATATTTTCTCGACGAAAATTACCAGTAAGCCATTAAAGGAGCTAAATCGCCAATATTTGGGACCTAGAAATTGACACAAGTGGGTCGCAACTCATATAATACTGTAACATCACCTCGGTGGAAGCGGACGTAAAACACAACTAACAACTAACTAACTAAGTATATAAACTGATTTACATTCAATCGTTTCCGTTTTTACTCTAATTTCAAATCAGTTATGTTCCGTGAAATAAGCCAGCAGTCTCAATCGAGTGCAAATTCCTAGCGTCTGGTTATTCCAGTCTACATACGCCGTTTGGTTTGCTGCAATATGTCTAGCCTCGTTCCTCTAGTCTCTTGTTAGAACTGGGGCTGAAACGCATTATGGTACACGATTCGTGTACCAATGGTAAAATATTTATTTTGTCTTAAATATTGGATATCTTTTTCCGGTAAGATCAAAGCATCAATGTTGTTTTAAATTGACAAATAATTCGTGTTTTAAATGTTGAAGATTTTGGATGATATTGAGTTAGAGACTTAGCTACTTTAAGACCAAGACCGATTCGGTTATTTGAAATAGTTGGAAGGGTGGAGATTTAGCTTGCTTTAATTCAAAGGCTCACATTTAGTTTAGTAATGTCAGCAACGTCAATTTTTTTATTAAAGATGCATTATGTAAGAGCTAAATCTGTCTAATGCAGATCTTTCGTTTGGCCTCAAATGTTATATAGGCTAAATCATTAATTAGACATTAAATAATTTATTCACATACCAAGACCATAATGAACTTTCTAGACCATCGGATGATTTTGAATTTGAATGGATTTAAACATGATTTAATTCAAATGCATAATCGAGATTTTGTTTATTATCGTAACAAAGATAGCAATGGTAATTATGGAGACTGCACCGTTCTTCAAACGACCACAACTCTGCTCAGAATGAAGTTATTTGACTGCAATTTTCAACATATTCCATTTTCGTTATCTTTTTTTAACTTTTAAAGAAAGAATGGCCAGCTCTACATCGAAATCTTTACATAATGCATCTTTAAAACCGCTTATCGTCACTTTGGCGATTTTGAACAATAATATGGGGAACTTTGAATCTATGTAAGATATTTATTAGTTCGCTCTTTTCAGCATTTGCTAAGATTTG